ATAATCGGTGCCGGCTCGCCACGAGCTGGCGGGACCAGGCGGCATGGCGTAAGGCGGGGGTGTGACAGAAGCGAGATAAATTTTCGCGGGCTGCGTTTGATTCGGCCTCGCGAAAATTTACCACCCTGTTATTATCATTATCGCGGCGAGCGAGACCGTGGGGACGGTCCGCAGCCATTAGCGATCGCTGGCTCGTTAAGACCGAAGATTTCGGCCTGATCATGGCCGCTAATCTACGCCCGGATTAAACCGGCCGATTTCGAGCGATCCTTTTCCTCGGTTCTTTTTTTCGCCGGAGCTCGGTCCTCGCGGTCGTTTTCTGCACGGCCGGTCGTCAGAGTCAATTACACAGGTGCCGTTTGGTTTTCGTGGTGCCTGCCTGATCCACGGGAGAGATCTATGCATATCCAAATCCAGTTATACGGTGCACAGCCGTCGACCGACCGAAATAAGCATCTTTCTTTATTTACTTGCTCGAATCCTGCGAGCTGCGAAGCACGTTCGCCGGGCCGAGGCTCGATAAACGTTAATCGATACCGGCGGGAATCGATTCTGAATTCACTCCGGAGTAAGTCCCCGGCCTCCGGCACAATTTCATTATTGCACCACGGCCGGTTAATTGAATGTTGTCGCGTGGTAAATCAGTTCTGGCCGTTTATGATCAAATTATGCGGCCGAACGAGCCTCCAGACTTGAACCGAGAGTCGTTGCCACGGTTCTTAAACGGCGATCGACTGCCTTCGAAATTTCCTACCTTGCGCAATCGATCCCGGATGTCCACAATTTCTTCGCGTAATATTTAAATGATCGCCTCTAACGCGCGCTCGTTAGGCCGCGATTAAACGGCAAATGCGGCTCTCGCTCGCTTTTCATTCTTGTTTGCCTCGCTCCCGTATGTCAGAGTTATGCAACTGGGATCCGGTAAATTAATTGGCGCGATGGGGAAATAATGGTCGCAACCTTGTTTCATGGTTGCGATGCTCGGATTGTCCGCGTTCCGCGGCCGAGTGGAAGGGGAAGTTGCTTTTATTTTCTAGAATCTTTTGTTCATCGAAGACACGTCGATGGCAGGAACATCGTTGAACGAAACCAATGTCATGTTGTTCTTGAAATTGAAACCAGTAATGGAGAATCAACAATGTTTTACTGGTTCCGGTGACAATTAACTTATTCGATTCTTCATTTCAAAGCGAAAGCGTAGCCAACTTTTTGTGCTAAGGTTGATTTAATATGATTAAAACATATTTCATTTAATATTTTACTCGATTCCTTTTTATTATCCAAGTTTAAGCTTGATAATGGCTTACATGAAAGAGTTGTAACAATTTTTTATTTCATTGCATTTTACAGAACTTCGAATTCACAATAAAATACAGAAATTCACTTTTTTTATTTACACCATTTCTGCTTTCAACGGCTCTTATATCGTAGTGCTATCATTAAAAAACCGATAAATTAACTACTAATATTTCTACTTGAATTTCGATGTATCAGATTACATCAAATCTACTGGTTGGCCTAAAAAAAGTCAATTGTAGATGTATTATTCAATTAAAATTTTAAAAAATGCATTATCCAACGAAGAGCTTCAAAATCTGAGAATAATTAATTTGTCATTGTAGGAATGAGAAATGTAGAAATTATGAAGAAAAGTAGATCATTTTCTTTCTGGACGCGAGTGAAACTAATTTTTCGCCCGCGTATCGCTGGGCAGTATTTCCCGAGCACAGGCTTTTGAAGAATAAATTGAATTCGTCTGTCCAGTTTTCTCGCGTCGTTTCAATCTTGAAGCCGAGTCCTCCTCAGGGCATTCTAGCCATTTCTCGGCGAGCACTGAAAACCATCAAACGATCGGGGATGGAAGACGCATTCGACGAAACGATCCGGCGCAAAGCCGACGGGACTGACGAGCCACTCGGTCCCGTGATAAGAAAGCTACGTGCGAAAAATACAAACCGGCCTATATAACTGAAAGTATAATCGCGCACGATTTCTGGGTAACGTATGCAACGAGCCGCGAAAATTAGGCTCGTAAAACACGGCTAATACCCGAGTCGTTTGCAACAAACTTCCACTGCGGATAGGTCCATTTGAATTTTCAGCGGCCCCCGGCCGCATTCGAATTCAGTGCAAAAGGCAACGTTTCCAGATGCCGATCTTCCTTTGCAACCAATGAAATTGTCGCTCTCGCGACATCGGACTTAACCCCGGTTGCGGACGGTGTAAAAGTTTGCAATTTAAATCTACATTTCCGCGTATTTTTCGCCGGAACATTTCCTGTTTGAATTTCCTGCGTTCACGATGCGTATACATCGCCGTTAATTGCTTTTAAAATTTACTGCTTGCGTAAAGTTTGTAGATTCAACACTGCACCTTCTTGCGTTCGATAAGAAAACACCCACGAAGTAGACTCCTTTTTGACGTTTGAATAGGAATTACAGTTTCCGGCATTTCCGCTACGTTGCTCCTTCGGAGCGACACAGATTTGTAAATAAATAAAATCTCTAGAAATTATACAGTATACAAAATGATATGCATTCTTGACTAGCTTGACTTTCTCTTTATGGAAAGACAAATGACATTATGCAGAATAAAAATTGTCTGCTTCAATTACAAGACTCATTTTTCTCTCTTAAATAATTCTAATAATTTGTAAATAATATATCAACATTTTTGGTTTCTCTTCATTTCGTCATCATTCTATATTTCACGTATATGTTTCTTCCATAAGTGCATACAATCTAATAATTACTAAATAACTTCTTCGGTCTTCCAGTGAAATATTTGCTTAGAAGTACGAAAACCCAAGAATGCAGTTATTATGCGCGAAGACCCGGGAAAATAAAATCCCTTTTCCAGGCTACTCATTCTCCTTGGCGCGCGAGAATGGCTCGGTCCGGATTCGTCGCGCATTTTTCCGAAATTACGTCCCGGAATCGCGGAATTTCTGTCGGAATAAGTACGAAATCCTTCCATGTGGCAAGCAATTAGTAATAAAGAACGGGTGCACGGTGTGCATCATCGCGGGAACTGCCGGGAGAGTAAAGCCAGCCGCGCGTTTTTCGCCCGGTTTCCATTTCCGGGGAACGATCCCGTGCTCGTTCCGGGAGATTTTTGGCGGAGCGCACGGCGGGGACCATGTAATTTGCTTTGCTCCGTGAAAATCGCGGAACAGAGAGACCATTCGGGGCTAATATCCTCCATTAGCGTGTCTCGCCGCCGTAATGAACGTGCTCGCGGAGCGACCACTAGCGATTCTTTCGTTCTGGACAAGCGACGATCCTTTAAGTTTCAGGCGAGTCTTCTGGCGCGAGCTCCCCGATTCGAATCTGCAATTTAAATGCCGCCGGTGGGTGGAGAACGACGGTCGTTCCCCGTGGAAATGATCGCCGCGATAGAGAGTTTTCGAACAGCTGGAGCCCCTAGATGCGGTTGGAAAAGTGAAAATTACGGCGGCGATCGCGAGATTAAGAAACGCCGAGTTGCCCCGCCGATTCGCGTAATAAGACGGTCCCGCATTTCGATATAGATCGCGACCGACCGGCTCGCAATCGGAAACTTTGTCTCGTATATTCTCGCTGCTCCCCTACTTTTTAGTCGCTGGTGACGATAACCGGCCTTTATTCGTTTAGCTGAACGAGTACGACGCGATCGCCTCGACCGATTTCGTTCGTCAACGCTTATGCCTGTTAAGTATACTATTTGCGGCAAACGAAGGCGGTTTATTATAATCGGAGTTTCATGCTTCGATTATCGTCTTTGGAGTATCATTGCATGATTGACAATGAACCTATCGAGCACCGGATATACTAGCTAATACATTGTTATTCTACAGACAATTTTGGTGCAATTTCGCGATCGACGTTACAATGTATTTTTCACCGCGCTTTAATATTCACAAATCGGAGATATTCAATTTTGCGTTCATTTGAAAACACATACTGGTCGAAATGCACGAAATTCAGTGACTACTGGAGAGAATGAAAATTCACGTAATAATCATTCTTGTCACTCAATACGTGTTCTCATATACGAACTATAAGATCGAATTTATTTGAATTTCTCACAATTTTTCAAACAGCGTGTGCCCGAGGATGGAAATATATACAACAATTTCCAATGGGAGCAGCTTTGTGATTTCGATAATTACGACATGAAAAACTGTGAAACCGTTTAAAGAAACAACGAGGAATATCGGCGAACGTTAGAAGCAAAAGGGTTACGCGAAGCATTCCCAAGCATTAAACGGATAGAAACGTCAGGTGTCCCTTCGGAAGACATTTACCGCCGTGAACCGCGTCAACTGTCGGCGATACTCTATCGCTAATATGAATTATTACGGAAAGCTTTTAGCGGAGTTGTCAAACGGCTAATGTAACGATCGGACGCGTTATGTCGCGCCGCCGCGATTCCGTTGTGTAAACAAAATGCCTTGGCGTGTACGTTTGTTATTTCGCGACGAGTCGTCGAAGTTTCTTCGGCCTCGCCTAGAGGGCTGGCACTGGCTTCCAAAGAGATTATCCGGGAATTTAGCGAAACTTTTCCCCCTGCCCATCGGCGGCTACCCCCTGTCTGTGAAGTTTGTTCATGTCCTTTTAATGGCACCGCGCTAGGACGAATTTTAAAGACCCCCACCTATTGGGACAGTCGTTCGTGTCCCGGAAACGGATGTGGCTCCTTAGGAGGGGACTGGGTAAACTTGAATAGGGGAATTCGACATGAAAGTTAATTCCGTGGCGGAATTGTTAATCGGACCGTTATGCCTGGGGAGGAAATTTTTTGAAAGTCTGTGAACACCATTTTGTGACGAGGTCCTTCGACTTAGAATAATATAGAAGGCGAATTTATCGTAATATTAAGTTGAAATTAAATGTGAAGGAATTTGGACTGAGGAATTGGACTGTGATTCATTTATTGTCTAATAATTATGTTCTTATGTATGTGTCTTTGTATGTATGCCTTTGAGGAGGATTAAGTGAAGGTAAATAATTGTACTGTGATTAATTCATTCTCTAATAATTAGGTATTCGGGTACATTTATTAGTCGATGTCTTTAACAAAGATTAATCGAGATTAATTGATCGAACTGCGCGAAATAGCGAGAACGATTGCAATGATATCGACGCGAGCTTTGTGGAACGAAAACGTTTGCAAGAAAGTTTCGAACGGACAGTTTAACAGCAGCTTTATTTCGCTCGGTATTATGCCGTTAGTAGATTTTAACGCGCGCAATCTTTACGAAGCAAAATTACCAGGGAATGCTATGGGTATTACGCACAGGACACCGAGGACGCCAAACTGTGATTTTAACTGGGCAAACGCAGTAAACTGTTGTACCTCGGGTGGAAATAAAATTTATTGAATGTTTAAAAGTCAGCTGTAACTTCGAAGCGACTGTGAACAAGGCGGATCTACATGTATGGGACTCTTCTTTTCTTTTCATTTTTATTTTCATTTTTATTTTCATTCCTTGCTGAATCTGCCTTTGTGGTCGTTCCTGTATTTTATGAAACGTCGCCTACGTTTGCGTCCGCTTTATGGACGGTGAAGGATGGAACACAGACGCTTTAATCCTCTACACGTTCCTCGAATCAACATCCGAATCTTGTAAAAAAAATTGTCGATGTAATCTAGAAATTCATTAGTTTCGTTCCATAATTCTAGTTAAAACAAGACAAGCGAACGGAACACTAAATACTCGCGAAATTTCTATTTTCGTTAAACAGTTAATTAAACGGTTAATTAAAGAGAAATCGTTCAAACTATTCGAACGCGATTAAATCAGACTACTTAATTCCTCATTTTCATTTTAAACGACCGATCAGGATGGACAAGCGAGCACAGCGCCAAATATTCGAACAACTTTTAGCTTTATTTCGGAATCGTTAGGCAGCAGTTCAAACGATTCGGATGCAATTAAATCAGATTACGAATTGCTTATTTTCATACTGATTAAGATAGGCGAGCAATGGAATTGTAGACGCTCGAATAACTTTTATTTCTATTTCGATAATCGTTGGCGGTGCAAATGAATTCGAATACGATGAAATTCGTTTGGAATGACCAGAAGAAGCTCAGAAATTACGTGGACAGTTAACTCGAAATAATTTGCAAGTCGCGCAGGATCGAAGCGTAGGAGTAATTGCCTAATCCCGGACAAAATCTCGGGCAACTTTTTTCTCCGGGAAAAACTGGAGAGACACGGTTCGCCAGAAACCGGAAACGATCGAAGGAACAGCCGCCAGGGTGGAGGTCCTCGTCTGCTCGATCGCTCATCGCGCTCGGGCGTGTCGTAAAAACGAGAGCGTATCTCGGTAAGCTGCTCACTGAGCTTAACGAAGGCATTTTCGTGGCTACGGTGTACAGATAAGCTCGCGTCGGTTGTCAGCGTGTTCTGAATGGATCACGGTTATCTGCGTTTTCGGCGCTGTGGAATCCTCCGTGGCCCATCGACAGGACATTTTGCTCGGGCAACGGCCGTTCAACAGAAACAGTCATCGATCTGTAACATTACCATAAAACACGAATTAAATCGTCGTCTGCGTTCAAACGGCCTCGCGATCATTCTCAACTAAATAAACGTCCGCGTCGTAAAATGTATCCTCGTTAGATCATTGTAAAGCTATTAAATATTTTTATGGGGCTGTAAATATTTCTTTCGGGGAACTGTACCGTGCTTCTTTGCATAACTGCTGTCTAGACGTGTAATCGTTAGACCGTGGATCTCCGCGGAGATTTCTGTTTCATAAAAATTACGTAAAAATGTGTTCGGTGTAAGCGAAATACTATTTCCGCGACAATGAAACGGAAGAGCTGATAATTGTTGTTACAGAGATCTCTTGTCGTAAACGCGTAAAGAACCGCGATCGTTCAACGTATCGCGTTGTTTTAATGACCACTTTCGTAACATTGTATATATATCTTTATGCAAAAATACATACGAAACGTATAATTCTGCAGTAATATCGCGCAAGCAACGAAATCGTGAACGCGATAGCGAAGCGTAATTATTTTAGCGGCCGCGGCCGGTTTAGTCAATGAACGGGTTGTGGCAAATCCCTTTTCGGCGAACAGTATACAACTCACCTGACCGAATCTCGGTTAATGTACTGCCCGTCCGGCTGTTCTTGAAGATAATGTCCGGGATAAACGCGATTCATTATTCGCGATGAAACCGCGGAAAGAGATACAATGATACCGCGGCCGTCATTGGCATAATTAAATTAGCGTAATTAGCAATTAAGTCGGCGGGCGAAGCAACGACGCGCTCCACGGATAAGTTACGAGCGACACGCGTTTCCTTCTGCGCTCGCCGAGGATACGAGAGTAGGCTTGAATTTCTCGAATCGAGTTTCAGGGAATTCGATTTGAACCTCGGGACGAATGAACCGCTTTCGGACCCGTCCCAATGTCCGGGTGGCTCTTTTTTTTATTTGCTCCGATGCCGGGGATTCGTGCGATCGGGGAAAGATGGGCGAGAAAGGGAGACAGATCAGAAGGTGGCTTGGGTGGAGAAAACTGGATGAAACAGAATTTTTGGATGATGGTTCTGTCTCAGAAATTCATTGTAATAGATTGAACGAGTCGAATGTTGCCGGGATTTTTAGAACGCGGAAGGGTTAAACTAATATGTTTCCTACGGTAAATCTTCGCTTTATAATTTCGGTTTCCTTAATTAAATTAATTTGATATATCTGTTTTTTCGTAATAATTATTTGTGTATCTGTATTCGTTCGTTTTACTTCGATCTGGCTTCTAAATATTCAAAATATATAAAAATTAACGAATATATTTCGGTGCTCATTAAAACTACAATCTAAACAGCAAATTACAATTTTAACGAATACTGAAATATATTTGTAAATTTTAAGACATTGCGAATACACGGAGGCCGAGGCGAAATAACAACGGACACAAATAAAGATATATAAATAATAGTTTTTTCGAGGAGATCGGGACAAGGAAACTAATAAATTCGAAAGTACGAGATTATTGTCTGGTATTTTCTGCAAAATCTACGAATTATATCAGATTTAGACCGTCTAGATAGGTCGCGAAAGTGTATGGTTATCGCTGAGCATTACGATTCAGCATTGCTTGCCACGGGAACCAAAAGCACCGAATAAAATAGGATACAAAGTTAGGCAAATCCCTTCTAAGCCCAACATTGAAAGTTCTCAGCCCACGCGCGGGGTTCTCAGCAGCGCCAGACGATATTGCGCGAAATCTTCGCGAAACAGCGTAAGCCTGTCACGAAGTTTTTCGACCAAAATCCACTCCCGTCCAATAAATAACGATTCCACAGAAGAACATATATATATATATAATCCTACGAAAGGCAAACGAGGAAGAAACGTTCCCGGCGAACGGCGACTAGAAGAACTGCCGCGAAAAATTTCCGGTAATTTTCTAGCGCAGCAGCTGGCCCCTTCGTCTATCCATCGATCCTCCCGATGGGAAAGCTGTACAATTGCACACGGCTCCTTCCAAGTATCCGCCATTTCGCAGAGAAGCCTAATGGAGTGCCCCCTCCCCCCTCACCCCCCACTCTACATTCTCCTCCTAGATATTTGAATTTAAATCGAAGTCAGCGATCTTAAAATAAAATTAAAATTCGCTTCGATCTCCGGGTTAAATCCGATTTCCAGGCGGGACAGCCATCTTGCTTTCGCATCACTCGATATTCCGCAGCCGGTGTTATTTCGCTTTCCGGTCTCTTGTTTTGCCGCTGCTGCGATTTTCCCGGTGTCGATATTAGACTCCGCGCCACGTTTTTCTTACGTCTCGCGTGTTCTTCGCTCGAAAGAATTTTTTTCTTAAGCTCAAGTTGTCGTTATGTCAACGGTCTTAATCATTTGGGGACGAGTGAGGATGACACAGCGATGACATCAGGACCGTACGTCTCGTTCCAGAAGCCGTGAACGTATAAATTGTTCTGATCGTTGCCCCCGCTATTTAAACCTTTGATAGTTGATCCAGTTTCCCCGGAGGAAATATTTCCGATGCTTTAGGAAATGCTCGTCCGCGAAGAATGCAGTCCGAGATCTTTCTCGTAAAACAGCCTGGCATCGGAGAATAAATTCAGGCTGTCGCATGATCACGTATTTATGAACTGGAACGATCAGAATTCTAGAAAAAGACTTCCGCAGCCTTACCAAGAAGACTAATATTGTTTCATCTCTCGAAGAAACGAGAGAACAAAATAATTGAAATATGCGATACACAGTTAGGTACGTAGAACCGACACGTACCACCGTCCCGAATGAAATCTCGTACATTTTCCAGCAGCACGGACCTCCCCGCAAACGGGCGTCGCAGCGCAATGTTCAGCTTCTGCAGAGACACCGGCGAATTCCCAAATTACACAGTGACAAACTAATCAACGAAACCAAAGAACTATTTCCCGGGTATATTCAGCAGCAGCGCGCGGAAGCTTCCAGGCGTTGACGTCCGGAGACCGGGACGCGCAAACATCCCCAATCAACTAGAAAGACATCGGCATCCTCGTTATTCCCACCCCGAGAATATCAGACCGCAAGGAAGTTACATTTCCCTGGATGCAGCGACCCAATAATTCCTGCTGCCGGTCCGCGAGTCGTTGCTCGGAACGGGAAAAGGCGCACGATTGCTGGAATCGTGCGACGAATCCATGACGGGCTGGCTGGTGAGCGAGAGAGAAAGAGGCGGAAAGTGGGAGAGATAGCGATAGATAGTGGCGGAGAGGACAAGAGAGAGAGAAAGAGAGAGAGAGATGGAGGAGAGAGAGAGAGAGAGAGGCCTCACCGGGGCGAGTCTGGAATAGGTGAACCCTGGAGCGGCGTATCGATCTGTGCGTGATGCTGAGCCCGGCCGACAGGGGTAGGGGGTTGGAAACGGCGCACAGCCACCGTCTCCACGGAGATGTGGCGTCACGGACGCGGGATGCGAGAGTGTGGTGGTCGCAGACGTTGAAAAGCGAGGGCTGCTGAGCTGGATACAGCGCCGAGCCCCGACACAGCATCCGGAACACACCGACACAGTCGAGAGCTCGGTAGTCACACGGACGAGAAGGGAACGGGGATTGTCGGGGCGGGTGCGCGGGGGTGTGCGAGGCTGGCGAGAGATCCCCCACCACAGGGAGTCCCGTTCGAATCGACCCTGGCTAGGTAGCCGAAGCCGAGCTCCGAGAACCTACCCCTGGCCGAGCGACCACCAACGTCTCGAGGGTGGAAAGCTGAGGAGGATGGGGAGGACTGCGGCTGGGGTTGGGGCGAGGGGGCGTGTCATTGCAGTTTCCACACAGCTGCGTCTGCAGCGTCCCGAGGAAAGGCCTAAAAAGCTTTCTCTCGCTCCCGGTCCTCGCTCTCCTCTTCCTGATCCTCGCCCCTCGGACCATCCGCACACCCTCGCGTTTGCCCTCCGACACGTACCGGGCTGGGAACTTTACCATTTCGCCGTCTGGGAAGATAATCTACCCGGCTCCACCTACACCTTCGAATCGAGTGGAATCGGGCATCTCCCTTCGCCTCCTACACCCCACGTCGGCCACCCTTCGTCTGCCACCCCCCGAGGAGTCAAGCGTCGCTGACTCCCACCGTCGCCGATGCCGCGCACACCTTCGACGAACGTTCTCCCGGCGACGATTTCTTCTTTTCGCTGTTATATACGCTAGCTCCGTTCCTTTTTTCCTGGAGAGCTCGTCGCGTCCTCTTCGTTTCCCGCACGCCGGTGGTTCCCGCGCGGCAAGGGTGCAGGTGCGACCGAACGCCGCGCCGGCTCGCTCTCTCTCTCTCTCTCTCTCTCTCTCTGGAAATAAGGTGGAACCGGAGGGAAAATTAAACTCCCCCGGGGGAAGGGGGAGCACGAGGGAAGTTCGCCTTTTCCAGACTTTTCTCGGTACGCTTCGTCGATAACGTCTTCCATCGTTCCCTGGCGCAAATTGAGACCTTGCATTTCCGCCGACAGCGGGCGAAAGCAGCCTCGAACAGGAATTAATCATCTGCGAGGCTGCGTGACTAGCGCCCCGTCTCCGGCTGCTCCTCTTCGGATTCAACGAGACTTGGAATTCAATTTCAAACTTTCTCGGCGTACATTTTTTCGGTAGCGTCCTGCACTTCCGAAGCCGTCGCTCTTTCCTTCCACCCTTTGCCGTACCTTGACGAGTCTTTCTTAAGTCGAAACGATATCCCGGCGAATTGCCATCAATATTTAAGCATTCCAGCGAATGTAAGCACGTGGTAAATATAAAATCTTCGCTCCCTTCGAAGATATTATTACAGGAAAGTTCGAATCATTCTCGCCGTGAAGAAAATTGAACGGCGAAAAGTTGTATCAACTTTGCACCATGATGATCTCCGTCACAGCTACGTTGATTAGCACAGCTTCGTGTTTAATAATTTAACGAAATAATTCGAACGAAAATTCAAACGAAACTGTTAGATGGCCCACCCTATGATAAGCAACGCTTCAAAGAAGATATGGAATGACAGATCGTTCGAAATAATTCCTCTGTTCAAAAAGATAAGAAGACTGCATTGATACAAATTTTATGAAACAAAAATCGTTCATTCTTAAAATACCATCCCCTAAAAGAGAACATCCGAATGCGAAGGGTCGACGAGCAAATTTTGTCGTCCAAGTAGACGATCTACCAAGAATCCAGCTAAAGTCTTCGTATTTCTACGAAGCAACCGTTTATTGTTCGGCGCGGTGAACGCTTCGGTTGAATTTATAACAATAAGTCAATTGATTCGGAGCATCGGAGGACCTAGGCTCGCGCAGCCGTTTTTTCCAAGGGTCCACCGGCAGATTTATAGGGGTTGGGGTGACTCTCGACCGACTTTCTCCGAGCGTAATCAAAGCGCCGGTGGAGAACCTAAGGCCGACGGATCTCCTGGAACGTGGAGGCGCCCAGCTCTTATTAGATTCACCGAGCTATTTTCGGGCGTTGCGTGCCCGCCCGGCCAGATGTTTAACGTTCCCGTGGATCGTCACGGGCCTCGAGAGCCTTCGACGGTGCCGTCGGACCTCGTTCTGTGAGAACAGCTCGGTTACTTCAGCGATAAACCGCGATCTTCGGCTGGTTCAGGGGTGAGAAGTTCTCCCGACGTTGATTTATGGGCCCGTGGGCGGTATTGTTAGGTAACCATAACTGCCGGCGTTCGATTCCTGCGTCACACGTGTCTGCGGTTCGCGCGAGGAAAGTCTAATTTTGCGTGCTTTGTTATTTGCAGTCGTAAATCTTGCGAGCGTTCTTGCATAAATAGGAGACGCAGGGAAATATTGTAACCGCGTCGAGAAACAAAAGAATCTTTCCGGCGCGTTGTTTCTGGAATTCGCATCTGTCTCTCGACTGTGTCCGCCGACTCGCTTGATAACGCATCGCGTACGATCGATGCGGCATCGTCGGCTCATTTCGCGTAACATTAATCCTCGTTTAGAGGGAAGGTAAAACGACTCGGAGCGCGCGCACCAGAAAGTTCCGAGAAAATCAGAATCAGCCGGCGCGCGGGTCAACTTCCCTCGCCGGAGAAAAACCGGTGGTCAAGGGGTTAACTGAGTCCATCAGAGTCGTCTAGGCGAGCGATTTACGAGTCTCACGTACTGGAAACGCACGTTGGGTGAGCAGACGTGAAGCAAGACGGCCTTAATGCGCTCGATTCGTAGTCCTTGTCGCTGACAGAAGCTCCGGCCTGCGGCGGGTGCGGTTAATTCGCGTCGGAGACCGTCAACGGCCCCGTTCATTCTAATTTCCGTGGAACGTGTCTCATTGGAGGCCAACGCCGGCTAATATCGCTGGCGGCGTGGCTGATACGCGAGCCGCGGACGCCTTCACGCCCACGCGTTTCTGAACATCGAAATTATTTTTGTTTTCTTCGAACTTTTAATTTCTGATGGTAATTACCGTCGAACAGACGAGTCGGTGCAGAATTGGGCGAAAAATATAACTCGTTAGTTATTATAAATTATTATGGATTAGTTATATAAGTCGTTAGTTATTATAAATTTATAAATATATGAATTTATAAATTATTATATATAACTGACGAGTTACAATTGTTACTTATTAATCCGATTACTTTTTTCTCAACTCTGAGTAAGAGTAAGATGACAAAATCATTGTTATTATTTTACGTTGACAAATATAAAAAATATAAAAAGAAGAGGGTAAATTAAATATAAAAAAAGAATGGTAGAAGAAATGAACAAAATCACGAAAACGATCACGTCACGAATAATTGCTTATTAGTGTTACGTATTATTAATAGTGTCAGATTTAACCTCAAATTATCTCTATAGGGTATGAAAAAGTAGAACCTGGATTTGCATTTTTTTCTCAATTTGTCTCATTTGACATCATTTCTTTGAGATCTGAGAAACTTTAAACCTAAGAAGAGGGAAGCGAGAGAGAGAGAGAGAATTTCTAAAATGTTACTGCTACTTGAAGACTTCACAAAAAATATGGCGAAGTTTTAGAAACAAGGTAAATCTTGAAGAAGCTAGATAGAATCGTCCAGGGCCTAGGAAGATCACGATGCAGCCCTGGTTACGCCGTCTCGACGTTCGATGAACGAGCAGCAGCCACAGTTCGATGATTATTCGCGGATTCTTATGTCAGTCTGAATAATAAAGCCGTTCCAGTGAGTGCAAATATGCTGTTGCTATTTATGCAGACGTCGGCTGCGCTGTTGCCGTAATACGTTCACGAGAATTTGGAATTTAGCATTCATAAAGCATCGGGCTGCTCTGCGCCGGACTTTTGCGGATAATAAATAGATACGGCTATGTTTGTCCCCCGACAATTGATATTAAAATATCAAATAATAAATAAGTACACGGTTCGAACCCACGAAAATGTTAAACTAAATTGCTCGAAAGGGTCGGGAAATATTAAGACACACAAGGACGTTGAAAATATTGTAGCTAAACAGTATAATTAGAAGATTGCAGATTTAATGCATTTATCATAAAAATGAGTCAATCGAATGCAAAACAGTGAAAACATTAAAAGAATTTGAAAATAGTCCTACATTATTTTTAACTCATTAAAATGATTAAAGAACGAAATCATTGTCACATATGATAGCTCCCGTATCTTGTAATTTTTGCGAACACTTATTATTTTGCACAAAATTTCGCAGTCTAGTAATTAGTAATACCTAAACAGTACTTGCAAATTCAGCACGGTGTAGGAAATCACGATACAGCCATTTTCGAAGCGATCAATGCGTCCGCAATGGCGCCCAAACTGCGCACCCTCTGCAATACCGGAAGACCATTTCAACCCCTCGATCGAAACACGGATTAATGAATGAGGACAGATCCAACAGACCCTTTGTGGCCAAACAAAGAAAGTAACTTCTGTCAAATTGGAAGAAAGAGGGTCGATTCCAGAATATTGCTCGAGGTGGCGACCATTAAGCCTTAACAAAATACGAGGTCTTCGATGCGTTATTAT